CACACCTCCCGCGGGCCCGGCCGGCCTGGAGAAGGGCAGCAGGCAATCCCCGTCTGGGGAACAGCAGGAGAACCCAAGCGGCAGTGGCGCTCAGGAAAGGGGCAGGATTGCTGCCTCACCCCAACACAGGCATCCTTACAGAACATGGCAAGCTGGTAGAGTGATCCTTGGAGATTCTTCATAATTAGCTACGGTTGCTTAAATATGGTTCTGTCCTGAAAACTGACTCAAACAGAAATTCTGAATTGTTTGCCTAGTGTTTCCTGACTAAAGGTTTAGAGCTTGTAATTAATTTTTTTTTCTTTTGTTTTGTTTGGGTTTTGTTTGGTTTTGTTTTTAACTGGCTGGCTCTGTATTCCCTGTAGCACACTGAGTTCTTGTATTCATGTAGAGCATCATCAGTTGTGTGGCCACTGAGGCCACACTCTGACTCTGCCTGCAGGGACATTTCTAGTACCCACTGTAGGTACGTAGCTCACCACAGCTTGGGAACTGGTGATGTACAAGATGTAACAAAACACACGGCATTGTCTCCACACAGCTAAAAAGCTGGAGACTTGGCTGCTGCTTTAATGTTACTGTAAGAGTGTATGGCTATGAATGCACACTACCACTAGATCTGTTCAATAAGAGGCCTTTTTTATATAAACATTCTGCTTTAAGATGTCTAAAGCTCTACAGGCCATGTAGAAAATTAGATTCCCTAAAATTCTGGATTCAGATCTTTCAGGAAATCTATTTACACTGAAAAATGCCATTACAAGCATTTGTAAAAATCCTGAAAATAGCACTGGTAGAAGCAAAATGATTTTTAGACTCTCTGATGAGTAGGATGTAGATAGTTTGCAAGCTTCCAGGGAGTTACAGGACATAATGCTCACTGGCAGCCAGTTGTTTTCCTTTCGTAAGATTAGACTTGTTACCCAAGACAAATAGAAGGATCTAAGTCTATGGAGCAAGTTTTTTGGCAGAGAATGCACAGACAGCTATTCCACACCCAAACGTTATTTATGACAGTAATCTAATTACTTTCTGAACAAAAAGTCAGTACTGAAGCTACCCCAGTAAATTTAAGCAGATCAGCCACAGACAACTGCTAAGATATAAACATGTCAACATAAGAAAAAGATAAAAAGATGAGATAAAGAGACCTGGTTATATTCTACTGTAAATTAAAAACCCATTGACTCCATGTGCTTTAATCACTGAGTTTGTGTGGGTGCAGCTGATGTCTGAGCTTGGCCTAGAAACTCAGAATATTTAGTTACAGCTTGATGATCTAGTTGTTCTTAACTCGGCCAAGCAAAAATTCACAGGGTATTAAATTGCTGCTCATGTAATTGCATTATTAGGTGACAGTTGCCAGCTATGTCAACCTAGCTATAGTAGGTATGAGAAAATTTTCTTCTCTCCTTAAAATGACAGCAGATGGGAAAAATATTACTGTGTCTTGGTTCAGCTTTGCAGGTTCAGTTCCCAGTTTCCCCATCCCAGAATGGGAACACACTGACTGTGTGTGCCTGCAGTAGTGTCCATCCGTTGTAGATGAGCAGGCAGTCACTTACCAGTGTCCACCAAGGAAGGAGCCAGGGCAGCTATATTCAAGCTGCCTTGTATGCCTTCTTGTTTGTAGACTGAATTTTCTAAGGCTGGTTAGCAGAAGAAGAGAGTGCCTGGAATTGCCCATGTCCCTGTGACACGTAGAGCAGAAGTTATTAACTCCTCTTGCATTAAGAGGACTACACATCTATTTCTCTATGATTCTCCTCAGTTCTGGTAATCAGGCAAGGGAGACCAGAGACTCCCTCTGTTATTTCCTTCCCTCTTCTGCAATATCAATTACAAATTCACAAGATATGGTTTACTGTCCCTTATCTTTTTCTGTACCCACCTCCCCCACACCTGTTCTCTTTTTCCATCATCATACAGAAAAGGGTAATATTTTCAAAAGAATGGCCTTTTCTTTGCATCCGCAAAACTGTGCCTGTGCCATTTCAGAACACAAATGCATAGTTGCAAATCTAACTGCTTGCCTGAAGGCAAACTGCAACCCAGTGTACATAGGGTCCCAGACCAGACTACTGAACTTCCTACATGCCTGAACCATATTTTTCATGAAATCTTGCTTGGTGCATTTTCTGGAATACTCTCTTTGAGAAGTTTGGAAAAATGAAGGCTAGAGCATGTTAGTTCCACCTCCTCTAGACTTGTGCCCTTAACTTAAACTCAATAAATTCCAGCATACCTGTTTTTTCCATATTAACTAAACATATAAATACATGAGGAATAGAATTGTCTCTCATGAATTTTAAAAAAATGCAATTCTAGCTGTGAACCACTAAAATGTATTTTGATTTGGTTTCCTACCTGTATATGCATTTGTGCTTACCATTTGAATGGCGAGATGTACAATACTAACAGCAATGAGAGAATGCCTAACATAAGCATATGTCATCCATTGCACAGCAGGTGACTGCAGTTTGGAATATGTCTTGTAACTTCAATTAAACAGAGCAATAAACTACTGCTATCTAACACCGCCCTAGCCTTACGTAACCTGACAGCTGTAACACTTTGGCACCACACAGTGTTTTGTTTGCTTGCATGCTTATAACCTCGAGGCAAGAACTGCACCTGGGTATATGACACAGTCTTGGGGCACTTTTCTAACAGAAACTCCGTCTGCATTGCAAAGCTGGTTAAGAGTGTAATTTTACTGAGAGCTTTTCTGTCACATTTTGGTATTAGTTAAAACCCTTGGGGAAATAAAGTATGATTTTGCCTGTTTAAATTGCATGTATTCTAGTGGGACTTGCTTGTTAAACTTCAGCCACCGAATCTTTTGGTACAGTTTATTTCTAAGGCAGGAAAGATTTTCCCATTATTTTGTAGTTTTGGAAGGCAACTGCTTTGCAACTGAAAATAAACATTCCTAAAAGAACAAAATTTTACGTGCTCCAATATGCATAGTTAGGACAAATTTTTGCAATACAGTCATTGGTGACACACAGAAATGACAGAATACTAAGCAAAACAAAGTGATTAACCAAAGCAATTGCATTGGCTAAAATAGAATAATTTTATAGGAAGAAAAAAATCAAATGCTCATGTACCATCAAAGGAGGAATACATATATATGTAGCTCCCCAATTTAACATGGAAGTAATTAAGGTTGCTCAAGATAAATCTAGTCACATCCCAGAAATGGTATCATTTAGATCACTTACAGTTGCAGAGAAGCAACTCATTCCAGAGTGTAAGCATTACACATTAAAAGCTTTTTGAACTATCTGTCATAACTTTTATAGTAATTTTTTCATTGCTTATAACAACAATCTGAAACTGAAAACTTACCACACAATTAATTCCCTCTTTGCTTCCAGATGCAGATGTTTGTTGTAGAGGCTCTGAGATGTTGTTTACTCTCCAGGTTCTGATCCATGTCCCATCATTGTACTTGAAAACTGTCTTGAGGGAAGAAAGAGAGGTTCTGATTAGCAGGCATTCTTCCTGGTCACAGATCAGTGGAAAATAAAGAGCAAATATTCACTGCAGCAAAGATAACATTGACACACATGCCACTAATCTCAAATTCTAGCATTGTTTCAATATTTAACAACATTTTCAGCTATACCTGGGCAGCAGCAGAAGCTGCAAACTAACCAGTAACATTTGACACACACACTCACAGTTTTACATGTCTTTTTCAAACTACAGGCACTTGGATGTGGGTGTGTGGCCCAGGCTGTCCTTAGCCGAGGAGCACATGGTGGGCCCATGACAGTAGCGGTTGGATTTGCCATGGCAGTCACCATAGCAGTGTATGTGTCTGGGGGTGTTTCTGGTAAGTGACTTTTTCTTATGCAGCATTTACTGCCGTGGGTTTAAGGCTATCTTATTAAATTACTTGCATTTCATAGTATAAACAATTCTTTATCTAGCAACAGCAAGCACCATTACAGTACAGTCTGCAATCAGTTTCAGTAGTAAATTGGAGAATGCTTTGAGCTGAAAGGGACCTTAAAGACTGGTTCCAAACCTCCTGCCATGAGCAGGGACACCTCCCACTGAACCAGGTTCCTCAAAGCCCAGTGCAATCCAGCCCTGAATACTTCCAGGGATGGGGCATCCACAGCTTCTGTGAGCAACCTGTTCCAGTGCCTCACCACCCTTACAGATAAGAATTCCTTCCTTGTATCTAATCTAAATCTACCCTCTTTCAGCTTAAAGCCATTACTCCTTGTCCTGTTATGCCTTTGCTAAAAGTAAATCTTTTGTGTACTTCTTTCCTTCTGTTCTTTGCGTTCAACAAAATCTTCCACCAAATTTTGAACCACAGTGTGCAAACCTTATTAGACCTCTTGCCTTTATGGAAAGTGGATTGTGCGAACCAGAAATCTGCTTGGTCTTGCCTTGAAAAGACCGTCAAGAGACCATTGGCACTGTGTTTAAGAAAATAACCAGAATCCAGCAGTCACCAGCTAAAATGGATACCAGATAGGTAGAAGGTAGAATGATCCATTAATGGATATAAGGAGCAGGGTTCACCTTACAGAGTGCACTTTATCTCTTCATGTCCTATGACAGGCAGTAGCAATTCTCCTCCTGTCCATCTGCTTATTCACAGAAGCATCAGATTATAGAAAGCAGAAACAACAAAAAGACTCAGTACTAGAGATCCATTCTGTGATACACTATCAATGTACTGTGTCATTGCCCCTTTGTTTCTACTAAAACATTTTCTCAATATATATTGGTCAGGAAATTTTTTTGCCTGTAGCTGGGCTAACTAAATTGGTGTCTATGTGTGCCATATTGGATGGCGCTTTGTCTCCTATTTCTACAGCTCACTTTGGACAAGTTAATGTCAGAAACATAAGCATAACTGCTTTTAACATTTAAATTTGACCTTTAAAATAGAAAATGATGGTTGTAATAATATACAGAGCTGTGTATTATAACACATAATACTCAGTGTTGTATGTGGCATTTGTATTGGACTCTTGAGGCGAATAGTGCCCTTGTACTCCACTTCTCATAGAAGCATTTCTTACCCTTCATAAAGAGAGTAAAGCCAATCTGGGCAGATACCTCTAGGTGCAACTAGGCCATTATAAACAGTTGCTATAGCAGAACTTATTGTGGCCATTTTTCTTCCCTTTTACAATTCTTTTAGATAGACACCATGCATGAGAAAGTTTCTAAATTCACATTGGAAAGTGCTCAAGGTACTGCAAATCATGCTGTCTTGTTATTGTCATTGAAACGGAGCAGAAAGGTTCCTTAATTCCACACAAAGTTAATTCAGCAGTACATTCCTCTTATCCAAACAGCTTTAAACTACAGCTTTTAGTTTATAGGTAGGCAGGTGAACTCCTCTAATGCACTACCATGAAATAAAAAAAAAAACCCACACGTGCTAAAGACACTAACCTGTCCTACATTTGCATCTTTAAGGGATATTGATCTCCATTATACAGATTAGAGTACAATTCCTGCAGGGCAGGGCAGTTGCAGATGTTGCAGTATTGTGCCTCCAGTGTCTTTCCCATGACAAAGGATTCTGTATGCAGTGCATTTTCTCTGTGAAAGAATAGAAACAGATATTTCAGTAGACTGTGACTACCCAACATATGATTACTAGTGAACACTTTAGAATATCAGCTCCTATACAGAATTTTTTAGCAAATTCTGTAGCTCTTTGGCCATGAAGTCTCATGTTTAAATACTGCGAAAATATCTTGTATCAGTTCTTTATGAAATTCTAAATTCATGGTAACATAAAATACATAGTCTGCACATGGTGAATTTAAACTCTTCTTTCTACAAAAATTCCCCTTTTTGCTTTTCTCCATCTAATTTTTCTTAATGTCTAAATAATTTCCAGCATTTTTTCCAACTTAGCATTTCAAACAAACTCATGACTGTGATTACTGCAACCACAAAAGAATGGGTAACACACTGTCCAAAGTTGACTTTTTTCTTTTTTTTTAAACCAGGAAACTACCAGTGGCACAGGAACCAAGAATCTTTCAGCTCCCCTATGTTGGCATGAGAGCCTTCAAGTAGACTTTTCCTTTCCAGATTTAATGTTAATCAGACATCTCTAGTATTATTATGACTTGTCTTGGCCATCATAATTACCCTGCCTTATATACAGGTGGGGAACAATATCAGGTGTTGAAAGATAGGAAAATGATTCATTCCAGACAGAGTAAAGAACAAAAGACAAGACAACAATTTATCAAAATCCACATGAAGGGCTGCTAAATCATGTGCCATCCATCTATTTGCTCTGTGCTGAAGAATTTGAAACAGAGTGAGGAATTTTAAATTAATTCAAGACTGGTGCTACTAGGTCAGAGTTTTGGAAACTATACAAAGAAGGTTTTATCCAGCTTGTTATCTGTGTTTGTCAGTTCATTATGTATCAAAGGTGCCTGGATTTCACAAGATAATGACTCACTGACCTGAAGTGCAAACAAACACAGAAACCGTACATAAAGGCTCTTTTTCCATCACTAAATTTGATAGGCAAAGGTCAGGTTCTTTTAGTTATTTTATTAAAGATAAAGGCCATTTTTTTCTGATAACCATACTGGCTGAAATGAGAGTTTACCTGGAAGGTAAGCAACGGATCTGCTATGTCCTTGCAGAAGTTAGGTTTTACTGTATTTTTACTGTGGAGTACTGTTTCTTCTGTTTGTTTATTTGGCAATTTGTATTTCTGAAGTAACCACTACATATTTGTAAAAAACTAAATTTTCCAAAACCATTCAGCACTTCTTTTTTTCCACTCTGATAAAAGATGTTGAGGGAAGTATGTGACATAATAATAAATATATTTTTGAAACTAAAGTTGTCACAAAGAATTCCATGTTGCTGAAATCTTTCATGTGTGAGTTTAGATGTTTCTCCTAAATACAAAGGAAGGAAATTCCACAGAAATAGAATTCTATTTCAGCACAGGTGCTTTACCAGTGCCCCTATCATGGACCTTTGTGGAAGATGTAAGAGGTTGGTGAAAACATGTGATGAAGAAGTATGCATTGCTGTCCAGAGATCCCACCTAGGCATAGTTCACCAACAGTCAGCATGAAGCCCTAGCATTATTTTATTTTATGCTCATGAAAACAGAGTTCCAAAGTAACCCCAGGAGATGGGACATAAACATCTCTTAAATCCAGGGTACTCCAGAACTGCGTCAAAATACGTGATCAAGCCAGTAACAGTCCTTAACCTTAGTATGCAGTACAAAATGAATGCATGTTCTGCTGCCCCAAATCCTCCTTTAAAAATAAAAAGTCAAAGCCCTTGAGGAGAGAGAATATGTGCAGAATGATGGACCCTCTCATCACAACTGGTAAGGCAGATAAAACTTTTTCTAGAAAAGTTGTCTATAGATCTATAAATACTGCAGGACACATGGTCTGATAAACAGCACTACAAACATCAAGAAGGAAGCTGGATCTCAGTAGCTTTCCCCCTCCCCTCTCTATTTTCATCCAACTTGTTTCAGTTTAACTGCAGTCAGCACTTAACTGCAAATAATATCTAGAAAAGCATGTACTAGACTCAATGCTCAAAAGTGCCCATGTTTTACAAATCCTTCACCTATTCCCATGTATCTGAGTCATCCATATGACTTATTTTGTGATTTATTTTTCAGGTGGTCACATAAACCCAGCCGTTTCATTAGCCATGTGTGTGACTGGAAGATTAAAATGGACCAAATTACCAATTTACATATTAGCACAACTCCTGGGAGCATTCGTTGGAGCAGCAGCTGTCTTTGGGATTTATTACGGTGAGTACACCTTAGACATCCTCATAGGACAAACTAGAGGTCAGGCAGTCTCTAAGCCCCCATTTTTCAATGAATGCCAAGCAAGCAGAGGACTATGTTCACATAGGGCTAATAGCAAGACTGAAGCTAAAGCCATAAAGAAGAAAGGAAGAAGTAAAAGGAGTTTGAAGGGGAAAAAAAAAAAAAAGCTCAAATATTTCAGGTATCCTACAAATTTTCTGAAACATTAATACTCCAGGAAATGTCCTGAAATTTAGAGAAATTATTCACGGGTAATCAGATACTCTGAGATCATGTATTTCTCAGTAAGGATTTTAAATTACTTAATAGCCAGGATATAGGGCTATTCATCTTCCAAACAAATTAGAAACATTAAAGACCTTATCCAAGTGCCTGTAGGCAAGTATCACCAACATTGTTCATTGAGGTTACAGGATATGAGATCAAGTCCCTCCTGACTAAACTTCAGACCACCCTAGAGAGGTAGCTCTCCAAGGCAATGAACTCCAGGTAGCATGATAAAGGGGTCATATGTTAGAAGGGGGAAAAAAAAATATAAAAATTATCCCTCTCCTTGAGGTATGTTTCTTTTACAGTGTGCCACAAAAGGAAAAAAACTCTGCAACAGACTTTCTGATGATGAATCCACTCAGTCAGATCAGCTTCTTCACTCACCTACTTCAAAACTCTGCTTCTACTGACCCAGCCTATCTCCTCCAAAGCCTCTCTCTTATAGGCATTATGTTTAGAGACAGTGGTGGATCTATGTACAACAGAGGAAGAAAAATGAAAATAGAAATGTCTATTGTTTGTCAGCTAGGTGCTTGGTACCACTAGTAATCACAAACAGAAAAATCTTCAGGAACTACAGTAACTGTTTTGGGTTTGGTGTGGGGTTGTTTAGGGCAAGAGGGAAGGGGGGGAGTTTTTTAATTTAAGCTTAGTGTTCAAATTTGGAAACTGTGGGATTCCAGAACAGTACTTCCACCTGAATTTAAGTCCTCCTCAAGCCAGACAGCAAGGATTAGGGCTGTAGCCAGGAGGTAGCAATAGGTCAACATGTATATGGGGTTGGGGGTGGATTCACTGTGTTCTGCCAAGGGGTAGCAGTAGAATAGGGAACTTGGCAAAAGGGTTAGGGACTTCTTCCTGTTATTCAGGAGTGCAGGATTTTTTCATACCCTTATCTCTGCTCAAGTACTTTGCCCTTCTCTTGTTTTTATACATTTCCAAACTTCTGTACTTTTTGCTTTCTGCCACTTGCAGGAGTGTCACATACTCATTGAGGTCTACTGAAAACTCACTAGCAGAAAGACAGACAGAGGAGCTCAACACTTCCTTGGAGCTATGTGCTTTTATTTTCAGCAATGTCCTTGAAACAGTGAAGGAATATGCTAGGCTGCTGAACATGAGGCCTTCCTAAAGACATACAAATAATTCACAGCTGAGAAATACTCTCTTTCTTATTTTTTTTTCTAATAGTGAAATGCAACCAAATAATCTGACACCGCAAATGAGAGGGCCTGCCCAAAGTAAACAACCAAATATTCTTTGCACCCATGTCATGGCCTTAAGTAAAGCTAGAAAAAAACAGGAACAAGGAGAAAGATTTTTCCAGCTAGCTTGAGGAGATGTTAACCATCTGTTTTGCCAATGACCAGGCCCAACAAAAATGATAGCACCAGCAGGAAGATGAACCAATACACAGACTGTATTGTAGACAAGAAGGACATTCCATGAATGATCGCTGGGGGTACAAACAGATCAATCAGCTGGTACATAAACAACAACGCCCCCAATGATCCCACAAAAGACATGACTCAGCCCACAACAGATAGTACAAACAGTGAGCTGAGGTTTCCCATAGTTGGCATGGGAAACAGCCAGACCAGCCAGTTAAATACATAAGAGAAAGGTCCCCATATGGCGACTCTCACCCGATCGGCCTGCGTTTGCAAAGGTCTAAACAGACCTCTTTTGGGGCCCAGCTTCAAGGAGAGTCAGGAGGTCTTCCCTGAACCAGGAAGCTCTGTGGAGTGCACCCCACAGACAGACACTCCTGACTCCCTGCAAGTGGTCCCAGCTTTTATCCCCAAGCAGACACCTGACCTTTGTCAGCTCAGTGCAGGACCCCTGGGGCTCATTTCCCTTCTGGCTCTCCCTGCAGGGCCGGCCGCACCCTGGGGGGAAGCTATCAGGAAAACTCACAACCTCTTTATGAAGGGCTGTGGGAATCACCCATATGTCAACCTTAATTCAGGGCTCGGGGTTCAAAACCCAGCATTTCACCATCTTTCCCATAACTTCCATGGAAGAAGATATCTGTTTCTTTACAAAATTACAGAATTATAAGGGTTAGAAGGGACCGCTGGAGATCATCTAGGCCAACCTCCCTATGACTAAAACAGGTTTGCCTGGATCATGTTGCACAGGAACACATCCAGGTAGGTTTTGAAAGTCTCCAGAGGAGACTCCACAACCTCTCTGGGCAGCCTGTTCCAGTGCTTCACCACCTTCACAGTGAAGACATTTTTCCTCATGTTTAGGTGGAACTTCATCTGTTCTAGTTTTTGTCCATTGTTCTATCACTGGGCACCACTGAAAAGAGTTTGGCCCCACCCACTTTACTTACAAGTATGACTTCATCACTGGACCCATTAGTGAAATAAAGGCATAGTGCTAGTTATTCATGTCTGTCTATGCAGATTTGGGTGCTTCATGTCAGTGTCTTCCTGTTTGTGACATTTGAGGGCTTGCAAGAAGAACTGAAGTTCTTGGGCTAGCCCCTCACACCTTGGATGGCTAACATAGCAGTTGCGTGTAAAGCCCACAGAGTGAAAAATTCAAACTCCTTTAGAAGAGGTCTCTCAGGAGAGTTCATTCGCAGAAGAAGTCATTACACAACTGTTAAATGGAATAGCAGTAATCCCTGGTGGCTGTCAGTACACTGATTTTTTGGGGCATCATGCCTAATATAGCACCTCTTACAGAATAATGCATCTGTGTTCAGAATCAGAAAACGCTCCTTGGCACTAAGTTCGGAGCCCCATTTTGAAAGCTGTGATACATAAAAGAAATGCTTCAAGGGACAAGGAGAGATAAGAGGGTAAGATTAGTACATCACCTCAAATCTGTCTAACTATGCTCCCAGAAAAGACAATCAGTTTCAGCTGAGACTGTGAAGTGCACAGACCTATTACAATCTACCTATCACATAGATTGTAGTCCTAGAAAATCTAGTGCTTATGGAGAAGTGCAACCAGGTAATGTCTGTTTTCTGTAGATGCCTTTATGGAGTATAGCAATGGAACACTTGCAGTTGCAGGACCTAATGCAACAGCACATATCTTTGCAACATACCCAGCGCCGTATCTGTCCCTCATAAATGGATTTGCAGATCAGGTAAGCACACTTACTGTCTTGATTCTACAAATTAAACCAACTGAAAACTGTAAAACCAAACAGTAAAAATAAGATTACACAGATCTCTAGCAGGTATTATGAATCTTACCATTTAGGTCATCCATCACTGTGTACAATACCAATGAGAATGCAATGCTGCTTGCAGAGGTTACATTTTAGTTGTATTTTACAAGCAAGATAAATTCAAGTTGTTCTTTTCACATACATCATGTTACTTGTTGTACTCCACATGTCTTTAATGCAACTTATGTAAGAGGTTTTCCCCAGCACAACTGACTGTTTCTCCATAAACTTCAGCAGACTTATGTCCATTTTACATCAAAATCCAGTGCATTTTGTGGGCCTGTTATTCCCAAAGCAATGCTTAAGCAGCCAGTTTAACACACCTTGAACAACTGAGTTGTATGCTATCATAAGCCTGTTCTCCAACCTTCTACTTACAGATAGATTTGTATTATTTATTTTTCAAATAGCTGAATCTGAAAAAATCTCCCCTTCATTTCCAATACATATCCTCTAATTCCAACTACCCAACAGTGAAAAATGAAGTTTCATATCTTCTATCTACTTCTAATCAATTTACCTGTTTTCTTCAGGCATGCATGAAATAAATCCCGCGTAAGTAAGCTATGAAAACCTAGGGATTGCTGGAGCAAAGTAATTCCTTACATAAAGGGCTTGAAGATTGTGCAATCTGGCTTTAAAAATATCCAAACATTGTTTTGAAATTTTGTAAGAAAGAGTTCTGATCTTTGGATCAGTCAACAGACTTTTCCATACAATCGTTTTACCCACAGCTGTTTTAACACAAAATTTAAAGCAAATAGAAATAATTTTTAACCCCCCCCAAACTTAAATTTCTTTACATCAGTATAGAAATTGAATGTTTTAACAGTGCTGAAATATATCTGTTTTCCCTGAGTTAATTAGCAAAATTTACATTTGCAAAGCATTTGATTTAAGCAATTTAGCCCTTCCATCAGTCATTCTGAGAAAATTTCCTTCATCAGCTCAATTAGCACATGCAGTACACAGCTCACATGACAGTTATACATGCAACCTTAATTTAGGTTAGTCCTAATTTTTTAGCTGCTCTCTTTTGATTTCTGCAGACTTTACGTTTTTTTCTTATGTTGTGCAATATCTGGATAAAGAGATGCATATTTAGTTCAGTCTCTCAGTGTAAGGCTACAGTCACATAAAAAAACACTTGTATCAGTGTAACTGATTGTATTAGTGTAGCAAAGCTACCAAAAATCAAGTAAATGGAACTGTTAAACTCATAGGAAAAATCACTAAAAAAAAAAAAAAAAAAAAGACAGCTTTTAAATCCTCTATTCTTTCTATACCAGATTGTTGCAGGTTGGTTTTTTTTTCCAGTTGTCCTCAGCAGATTTCTTGTATTTTTGTTTCAGCACAGATATCAAAACTTCCCATTACTGTGAAACAGAGAGGCATTGGAAGCATCATGTTCCAGTTTTTGCTACTCTGTGTAGTAGGATAAATCTAAATACCATCTCTAAGCCACCACAATCTACTGAGCTGCCATAGACCCTCTTTTCATTATTGGAAGGAATCTACACATTTATTCAATATTCTTTCCTTTGCATTGTCCAGGTGATGTCAACAGCTGTTCTTCTTCTGGCTATATTTGCTATTTTTGACACCAGAAATAACAGCGTACCAAAGGGCCTGGAGCCAGTTGCAGTAGGACTTCTTATAATTGTTCTTACTTGCTCCTTGGGAATGAACAGTGGCTGTGCCATGAACCCGGCCAGGGATCTAGGCCCAAGGCTATTCACAGCCATTGCAGGATGGGGGATGGAAGTATTCACGTAAGTATGCCTGGATATGAAGTAAAATGCTCTTGGCTAGAATTACTTCCTAGGAAAGTAAGATCCTGATTCAACATGGTACCAAGTCATACGTTATATACATATAGGCAATTCTTTGCATACCAGAAGAAACTATTAATGCACTTTAAGCCAGACATCCTCTAGGAACTGGGCTTTAAAAAGGATTTCCTGCTCCTAGGGCAAATCAAACGTGCATTATCTCTAATATCAATCATGGTTTCAAGCAGACCCTTACCAAAATATCAGAGATTCTTAGAGGTCACTGAAAATGTAGGAGTGCTTTCTTCTCTTGTCCTGAAGCTTTCAGACAGAAAAAAAAAAAAAAAAAGAAAAAAAAGAAATTGTGAGAGTATTAGAGAATTAGGTGGGAATATTTATTGGGTGCCGTAAAAACCCAGGCATATCAGATTGATTTAGCCTTTATTTATTACTACTGAGTTATTGCAGAAATATACAACAATCTAAAAGCCTGACTTCCTGCCTTGGAGCAAAGGAGTAATGAAAGAAAGCTCCCTTCATTTTCCCACATTTCAGAGCACACTCTCAAATCCCTGTGCATGCATGTGCGCACGCACACGCGTGCTCTTGGCTGGCCAAATGCACAGCTCATTAGTTGCACATCAAGCCCAGAACTTACACATATCCAGTGTAAGAGGCACTCTGGGGTATCTAAGTAAGAGTAATCTGTCATCAGGAGGTAGATCTTTTGGTTTATTTTTGTACAGTTTGTTTTTCCAGTTATTTACAAGTAGGAATCCCCAGAAGTACCGCAAACTGCTAGAGAGCTCCAGTCAGAGATTTCATTTTAGCTACTTCACCAAATACAAATAATCTTCATTTATTCAGTATGACTTCCATCCACACAAGCTATGCACCTTAGCAGAGGAGCACAGCAGTGAATCTTTTCTCGTACAAAAGAGCTAGGCGTGGCACTGAAGAAACAGGCACAGTCACACCACAGGCTAGATCCAAAGCTCAGATGTAACATGGCTCTAGCAAGTTGCTGGTGGAAGGGAAGCTCTCTGGCCCAGTTACCCTTCAAATTTTTCCTTCCCAGCAGCTCTTACAACTGTATCATTAGACAGCACTTTTTGTTTTTAAAATAGCGGCACACAGAGTGACATCCCACACCTAGGATTCTCCTCTCTCATGCCTATTTAATTGTAAGTAGTTGTTGACTATGATGTTAATTATAGCATCATGTGCTGTAATCTGTAATATAGTATGAAGTTGGCTATTACATTGATGAAAAAGTTTGTAAACCTGATTATACTGTGGTCAAGTCACAGAATACCTGTGATGTCCTTTCTCTCCGAAAGTATAGTCTTATGCATGTACATTTAAGAAATTACAAGAAAGCTCTACATCTGTACCAATATGGGCTCTTCTCCAATTCAGTTTTAGGATTTATATACAGAGAGGGAATTAATCCCCACTGTAAAGACCATACTAAGAAATTTTAAAGTGGGGATATAAAAAAAATTGAGATATGAGATCTCTGATCATTGCCAGAATAAATTTAGAGCAGTTTGAAGGATGTATACATTGAGGAAGAAGTCTTTCTCCCCACATTCCATTGTAACACTTAGAGCTATTACCAAGTTCAAGGGAATAATACAACAGAAATATGTTCTCATCTACATAAAACACAGATCCAGCGAGAATTTAGGAAGAACTTGAGCTTTGTTGGGTGGAGTCACAGGCTGCAGAAGTCGGATTGTCACTGAGATCCTGAACCTCCCGATGCTCTACTGGCATTACATATACATGAGAGACTGATGTGATGGGCATGCCCAGGAACTGGGACCTAAGCATGAAACTTTCACAGTGAGCTGAGGGGAGATTTGCACAAACCGAGCAATAGGCAATACTGAGGATGTACTGAACGTTCATTGGAACGAGGATGGCGGCATCTCACAAGGTGCTCGAGCCGCTCTCTTGTCCGGGTCAG